GTTTAGTAAATAGCAGATAAATTTTATGTCAAGCGGCATAGGTTAAAATGAGAAGTAAAATCATAATCAGCATGATTCATAACAAAAGACTGGCTGCTTGCCTAGAGAGAGACCTGCTGATCAGAACAAACCTGAAAGGCCTGATGTAGGCACAGTTAAAAAGCAGGTTTTGAAAGTTAGTTGGACTCTGTCTGATGCAGTGTCGTAGCTTCGTGTAGAGTTCCAGGGGTTTTAACCTAGTTAATATATTTTAAGGTTCCAATAAGCTACTAAAGCACTAGAGATTATAAGTTGTTTTGAATTATTTTAAGTCTCATTAGATGCGAAAAGTAAGTTTTACATTAATTTTTACATTTTTGTGTTTTATCTTGTGACCACGGTAAGAATTAGGATAATTACACATTAAAAGCTACAAAACGTTTGTAGCAACAACACTCAACAAAATATTTTATGCATCTTTTTAATTTGAAGCCTTCCCAGATATTTTGGCTAATTTATATCGATTTCCTTCTCTTTAAGTATCCTTTCTAACAATTAGAAATTTGTGTCAATACGCAAACCAACGCTCTCTCTAGTTTCTGTGTACTCTATGTTCTAACTTGTCAACCTCTCCAAGTGTACCTATGAGAGGTTACTTGATCTGGCAAAAGTTAAATAGTTTCAAACTCCCCTCACCGACAGACGTGAAGCAAATTATCGCTATGTCTGAAAGTTTTACCATACCATCTATTATTTCAAACAGTAGCAAACTGTTTACAGACACTGAGTGCAGATAAGAATAAAAAGATTAGTTGGACTTTGTAATTTAAACGTACGAACAAAATTTTGGATACCTTGTCGTAACAAAATGAAGTTCATTGCTATGTTGTATTCTTTACTTTACTAAAAATATCATTTTTTAGAAGGAGAGATAAAATATTTTTGAAACATGAAGAACAGCTGTTCTGAGTCCTTCATAGAAATATTTCACAAAATGTCTTTTACTGTAATAATGTGATCATATCAAGATGCAACACATTTACTCAAATATGTTAAATCTAAAGCAACATCTGTATATTTAGCTAAAATTACTAAAAAGGAAGTTCTAGAACATATCTTATTTAGACTTAGACTCGATATTATACCGAACTATTGCAAAAAGCAACGTTGCCGGTTCATAAAATCAAGCCCTAGGGCACATGACATAATAAAATCCGGACGTGGAAGCGATCTCAGAAGAGAAAACGAAGTAAAGGAGAAGGAGAGAAGTGCCAAAAAGGAGCAAGACAATCGTATCAGTGAAGTTCTCAAGACGGAACGAGCGAGCAGAGATTTCCAGGAGGATTCAAGGCAATGCAGGTTCAATGACAATAAGAGAAATACAATATACAAATACTGGCATCAATGACAAACTTAAAAAACTACAATACTACAGCAATCAATACTACTAAAATACAACAAAAATTCACTACAATAATAACTACAACAACCTAGACTACTAAATTACAACACAACAAATGCAGCACAACTACGTTCAATACAACAAAACTTCAGTTACTTCAATTTCCAAAGAACATTTTCAAACAGCATAAAAACAACAAGTAATAATCAGATGCGATAGATGTATAAACAGCTACCAATTGGGGAGCTAAGTGATAAAGTTGTCATCTCCGCCCATGAAGGTGTGTGCTGCCAGAGGCCGGATGCTGCGATCTTCAAAGAGAATTTCATAATTAAAAACTTGAGAATAATTTACGAAGTCACATTGCACGGCTTTGGTAAATAATTTTTCATTGGATCTTTTGATATATTCTGGAATTGTCTCAAGTTTTAAATCTCTGAGCAAAAATTCATTACGAATAAGATAGTAGGAGTCAATAATACGCAAAAATTTGTTCTGTACAATTTGCAGTTGATGAAGTTGATTTTGAGTAACCGTATTCCAAGCAGGGTACTGTTCCATAGCAGTATACCATAGCAGAGTACTGTTCGAATGCAGGTGGTGTAGATATGCCTTTTGGTACGCAAGCTAAGATTAGAGTATTTTTCGATGACAAGGAGAAATCTGCACATGATACCAATGGCCTTGTTTTTGACACTTTTAATGTGGTTGGACCAAGTGAGTCTTTGATTTAAGATGAAATTTAAAGATGATGATTTAAAATGGCAGCGCTTTGAATAAATACGCAACATCATCTACAGAACTTAATTTTTCTTTCATAGAACCGGCAGCTTCAAGTCATTTCTACGTATGTAAAGTAGATGAAGCGCTGATCTTCCTTACCTGTTATTAAATCATATTTCCTCAACTTCAGCATAATCGCCCATAGTTGAAGCCTGAGCTGGCAGGTGTTACCGAAGCTATATGTATAAGCAGCTTGAAGCAGCTTTGGGTGTTACTAGTTTGAGAAGCATTAAAAGGAAGTTGAGAATTAAATGCGCAATAAGAACACTCTTGGAAAATTTAGTTGTTTATACAATTCTTAAAATAATAATAATAAATAAATAAACGTTCTTTTTATTATATAAATAAATATTGAGCATTTTTGTAAGAATCATACCAAATCATGTCAATTTATACCCACCGAAGTTGGTTCAAATGGCATGCAATTTCGTTCTGCTATGCCAAGGTATCGAAACTTACAAACTATTAATTTCAGATTCTAAAAATATGACCTCAAATCCACATTTTCTGTGATACCCAGTACTCTCAGTTAGTATATTTTTATATTCCCCTGATATACAGAACTGCTCGTGCAGCCACCCAGGAGTCCTGTTTGTTTTGCAACTTCATCTCTACAAAAATTTTGAAAAATCTTTAATTATTGTTATTCTGTTTAAGTAATGCATGAAGAGTTTTAATTAATAATTTGAAACAATCCAAGTACAACATAAAAATAAAAATTGTATTCGTATTCAGTCAATGCTAACACATTATAATCAAAAGACATCTTATACGAGTACATTGCTTTAAGAATAGAGGGGCGCTGAACAAACTTAAAGGAGGAGCTGAGTACAATAAATTTAAAAAAAAAGATAGCAGTGAGCTTGTAAGCTATTTAAATTTTAGCTTACAAGTTAAATTTTAACTAGTTAAATTTTAAATATTAAAAATCTACATTAATTGCTTTTATACTTAAATTTCGCTCTTTAGGTGTTAAGCATAATCTTTCTATACAATATGATTAATATTTGTCAATAATCATTAAAAATACTTTTCTAATGATACCACTTTCATCAGATATGAAGGGCAGCATTTAAGATCCTAGCATTTTAATTATTTCGTTAGCTATGGGTATGGTTTATGCACGTTTAAAACCTAAGCTAGCAGTAGTGGCCGCTGCTAGATGATTAGGGAAAAAGTCATCTGATATGGACGCCACATGACCTCCTTGAACGGCCTATTAAATTATACATACTTTTTGTTGCACTTCATTTAAGCTTATTTCCTTGAATTATTCTAACTTAATTAACAGATTCCTCACAGCAAATTTAAAATGGCATAAAAAATTGCAAGTTTTGAAATTAAATATCCCGGTCAATTTTTCTCTTACGGGAGTTAAACTTCTTACAACTTTATTTTTTCATAACGAAGATATAACTTTTCCAAATATAAGTATAGGAATCGGGAGACCAAATTAAAGTTCGATTTCATTATTTGTCAAAAGTTAATTTTTTTTTTAAATTTGGCATTGCCAATTATGAATATTTTCATCCGTTAAAACACTTCTGTAATTGAAGGTATATAACTACAACTACCGATTGCGAAAATGAAAACCGGTTAAGGGGGATAAAGGTGCATATATATTTATACGTTTGGTATTGCGATAAAATAAAGAGGAATACAGTGAAGGAAACAGGCTTGTTGCACAATTAAGCCAATCTTGTTTAGCATTTCAGCATTCTGGCTTACGGAGCCTTCATTTCGTAGATGCGTATCTTGCAGTGGTCATTACTGCTAGCTTAGTTTTTAAACATGCATAAACCATCTCCGTAGCTAATGAAATAATTGAAATTTGAAGACCTTAGCATAATTTAATGGCTAGTATCTTAAATGTTACAATTAGTAATTTGTGGAACCTCAAATAGATGCGAATCATGATGCTGTACGGAAAGATAATAAAGGATGCATATTCATAATGCCATTCATTCTGTGCTAAATTTCGTCCCAAGTATCTGCTCGACTAGTTAAATTGTCAAACGATCTAAGATTTTGCTGGCCAATGTAGAGTTGTAGCAGCCTGGAGATATGCCAGGTATACGGGCTCGAGCATTATTTTGTTGGAAAACGATCCCAGAGTAACATGCCATTGTGAATAACACAGTTATTCGCAATATGTTATCTACATAACTTTATAAGAATTTGTATGCACGATTTCTAAGGGTGGCTTACTATCATAAGGGATACTATCCTATGCCTTCAACACAGGCATATTGACAGTGTTATTCAACACAATAAAAATCTGTTTGGTAGCGATGGCCTGACATTCTCCATACTTGAATGCATGGCCATTGCATGTCTTCAGTGATGCAAACGTCTTCTGTGCTCAAGACGGTTCGAATGCGGGCGAATAGACTGACTGCATGAGCGTCTTAAGATTTTTCCCATGCGTAACGAGAATAAGAGATAGTTTCCCTTATAAAGTCCTTTATAAAAGCACCGCTCATCTTAAGCAGATAGCTTTCTTTCATGGGCTATGTTGTAATCAAATAAAAAATGAAAATACAAACCAGTCACTTTTGTAAATCTTTTTAATCAAATTTGCAGAATAAACTTGAGAGTAATATAGTAAATTTCCTTTTCAAAATTGTTGAAGACTGCTTAAGAAATCTGAAAAACTGTTAAATAATTCCATATGATTTAAAACATTTTTGCCGTTTGTAAGACGGTAGTTTAAAATTTAACTTATTCTTCCAATTTTTATAACGATGTTAGTCTATCTTTGCATTGTGACTAGTATTCTTATAAAACTTTTACCACGATATGCATTTTAATTTAATTTTGTGTATTTTTATTATAGAATGGGAAAGCTGTGTGACTTCTTGCTAGCTTTGCTTAGTTTGCTAGAACTTCAACTAAGCTGTTGCAGAGCAGAAGATAGCGATTTTATGACGACTTCCGATGGTAGACAAGAGCTTTACCAGCATCCTTCATTTTTAATACTTAAAGACAACCCACCGAACGAGCACTTTTGGAAAAATCACGCAGCAAATGACATGGACAACCAAGACATCGATGAAATTGGAGATTGGAAACGCGGATTTGGTGAAAAGAGAGGATTCGGTGAAAAAAGAGGATTTGGCGAAAAGAGAGGATTTGGAGAGAAAAGAGGCTTCGGTGAGAAAAGGGGTTTTGGTGAAAAACGTGGATTTGGAGATAAACGAGGCTTTGGAGATAAACGAGGCTTTGGAGATAAAAGAGGTTTTGGTGATAAACGAGGATTTGGCGATAAGCGGGGTTTCGGAGATAAACGCTCTTTTGGAAATTCTCAAGATGGTTACATTGTTCCTTTGTTAGCTCAGTGGGTTCGCATTCTAAATCCAGATGATACCATGAGATACAAGCATTTGACTACTGGACTATCAAAGCATCTACCTGAAATTTACTTTAGTAAATCTTCATCAGTTTAACTAAATAGACATTAGAAGAAAGTTGTACTGAATATGATCCAATAAACAGATTACAACAACATGATTGAAAAAATAATTAAAAACGCAACTTTGAAATTATCAGGTTAAAAAAAATAGCTCTTTCGATCTATGCAAATTAAATTAAGATATCTGTGATCATCAAAACCTTGAGATCTTAGAATTTGTATCACAGGAAAAAAATAAATATTTTGAAATCATATTTATTACTCCATTTACATTTTTTCACAACAATTTTTAAAATTACAATTTTAAAATATAAATTTAATAGACATATTCTCAGATGATGCAACTGACTGGAAACTGAAAAATTTGCAGAAGTCAGATTTTAAATATGCCATAAAATTTAATAATGCTGTGGGAAAATATTAATGATGTAACATTTTTCTCAGAAATAGAACAATTAATTATATAGCAGAGCAGTGTGGTCTAACCTTTAGCTACCCGAGGGCCAATAAAACGTTGGTATAGGAGATTGAGGGCCAGAGACATTAAAGAAAGAAAATTAATTACATATAAATCACTAGTTCAATATATCACTTTATTTTAGTCTAGAAATCAATGTGATGATTGGCATTGCTTTTTTGATACCAGTCAATATCCAATGTATCAATGTCCACTTTAATTACGGTAAGGCAAAATCTGAGGCTCGATTCCAGTGAAGCACTTTCAGTGTGATTTCTCGTTTTTGATTTAACTGTTTGAGAGCAGAAAGAGCACTTTCACGCACATATATACTACCAAACAGCGATAACATTTGCAAAGAGAATTTATGCAGTTTAGGAAAACGTTCGTTAAAAATCAGTTTCTAGAAATGTTCTGTGAGATCACACTTTTTAGTCTGGTAGAATGAATCCACCTGAAGATTACAAATTTCCATTTGAAGGTGGCAAGGCACCTCATTTATTTCAGTCTCCATGGGGTTGTTTAACAATGAAAGTTTTGTTTTTAGGGAGTTAAGATCCTGGAATCTGGTCTCTTTCTTGAAAACAGTAATTATTTCATGAAACATACTAAAATTTGTGTCATTTTCTTCTTTCAACTGCTGACAAAATGGAAAGCGTGCCGTATTATTTGCTTTCAGTGCAATTTGCATTACATTAAGTTTTTTTGCGAAAGTCTTCAATATGTCCATAAAGCTGGGATATATTTTGTTTTCTGCGTTGTAGTTAAAGCTTTTAAGTTGGTTGTTAAATTTTTCAGAAGAGCAAGATTATTTAAAAACTGGATTTCTTCCTACTTTTCTTGACACTCATGCCCAATGTTTTCTTTTTTGAGGAACGCAAGAATTTTTTTCCCTCAACCCAAAAAACTATTGCAGACAATTTTCTGCATTTGACAGTATACTCAGCCTCCAAATTGTTCGCAAATTCAATAAATGCTCTGCGTCTCTGGGCTCTGCCTCCCCTTATTAAGTTTACAATATTTATAAGAGTTTTCATTGTCTGAGCCTTATAATTTTTAATATTTAATAGAATTATTTAGATTTATTATTTAAAGCACTAAGAAGGGTCTTTTGTTTTTCCAATTGTTTAACTAACTTTTTTTTTTTTTTTTTTTTTTCAATAAAGAAGGGCAAGTGCCAAAGTGCCAATAAAATGAATAAGAGGGCCGCGGGTTGGACCAGGCTGTAGTAGAGTATGGAGGCACCACAATTTGATAATTTATTATTAAAATCCTAACAGAACTAAGAGATAACTTTCTTAAATACTGATATTCTTAATTTTACGTAATGTTGAGGTTTGCCTGTACAAATGACTCAGGCTATATCAGCTGTAACACAACTATTAATATAGCCACCTAAGCCAGCAAGTCAAACAGAAAGACTTTAACGTAGTGCTTAGGTTTGTGTATATTAATGACTCAGAGAGCTATACCAGCTGTAGCACAGCTTCTAACAAGGCCACCTAATCAAGGAAAACAGCTATTCAAGAAATTCTGGATTGATTTTTTTCAGAGACGACCTAGCAAATGTTTTAAGAATAAGAGAACTAGCGGATGAAAAATTTATCCTTCATATCCTTAAGTGAAGAATCTTTAATTCTCGATAGATAAGCCACACATTATATTGTTAAACTGCATGCACGGAGATTCGATGGTTTGGAGGTGGAGTTGCAGAACTGTAGAACCGCTATCTTCTGTAGATATACTAGAAAAAAAAATTTTTTTTGGTTATTGTTGTTATTTTAAGCAAAATAATTAGAAATCCGTGATAAAATCTCTAAAATTTAAAATTAGTCCAAGATAAATTTCCTTCAAATTCAGCTTATTTAATACTCATGCACCAAGGAAGATTAAAATGTTAAGACTATACTCATAACCTTCCTTCAGAAATATTACAATAATTCTAAGTGATAGAAATGCTACAATTGGAATCGAAGCTTAGTTCAGACTAATCACTGAAGATATAGACATAATATGCCTAACAGATAAAGATTTAACCTTTTGCAGTTGAATGTGAATAGACTACTTCAATATAAAATAATGTATAAGATGACAGAGAGATCTCTTGGTGGTGAAACAATCAAATAGATCACATTCTAATTAACAAAAGATATGTTAGATATTAAAACCTATTCTCGAACAACAGTTTCGATACAGATAACGCCTTAGACAAAGCAGAAAAGGACAAATTCTATAATGCATACCAAACCCAAACAAACAAAAAAATAATATTATAATGGTAGAGTAACCAAACAGTCAAATTCAAACCCATTTAAAAAACAGAATAAAAGCTAGAATAAATAAAATAATTGAAAGTACGAATGAAAAAGAAACATGTTTAATGAAGGTATTATCAGAAACAGATAATATAATTTCGGTCAGTTCCGTCGGTTACATGAGGATGGGCTTGGACATGTCATTAACTGCTGCCTTGGACTTGTCATTAATTACTGCAGAGAAAATTTTAATTTCTCTCGACCATTATCAGCAAAATTAATTTAACGTTTAGAGCTACATTTAAGTTTTTTCCCATAAGAGCATTCTTTTGATATGTGAAACAGTTCGAAGCAAAATATGCTTAAATGCAGTAATTCCAGTTTCAAATTATGGATAAGCAAGTGGTATAAAAAGCTGATCCTTATACAAGAAATCATTATAAAGCATGTGCAAGCAACCTTTGAAGTGTGTTTATGATAATAATGTCACTAATCAGCTATCAATATCATAACCTTGTAGTCTTCACAGGTCTGCCACATTTTGGGGGTAATATATTTCAAAAGAATAAAAAAAAATAATAAAATGTTAATATATTCCACATGTTCTCATATGCACAAACATGAAATCTTAAAGCTATCACTCTAAAGTTAAATATTATAATGATTGACTTAACATGATTAATAATATGCAACCTACCAATGATTTATAATATGCAAATTAAGAAGTAACCTGTTTTGCTGGCCTTGTGTGCTTTTTGAGTTAAAAATAGCACTTTAAATTAATTATTTAAATTTTAGATTTCTAACAGATTACGGATTATTTACGTTTTATGGCTTGATCATTTTGATTTTCCCTTTTAATCCAATTTTCATAAATTAATCAGAGCACATAGGTCATTATTATACTCACTAGTTTTCTTATTTGAAATACAGCAAACCCTGTTAGTAAATATGTAAAAGTGATCGAAATTTCTGAAACCATAAATTAATACTAGCGCTGAATTTCACCTCACTAAGATGACCTGGTCGTCTTAGGGATGATTATAATTTTCCTTCGTACTTAAGCCCCTTTACTGAAAACATTGCCCACTGAAAAAAGCCTGTTTGAAACAAACTGGAAAGTAGTAACCAAGGAGAAAAATGATACACATTAAAAAGTGTTACTTAACCTTCTGAGCAGGATGGATTTTTTTATATGCTCATGAACAATATTTATACAGAACTTATTAACTAGATTTATAAAATTAAATTTTACTCTTTGTTTTCATAACATACCATTCATCAGAATGATATTCAAATCATTAAAGAAATAATGATACACATTATTTCAAATAACAAATTATTATTTTCAAAATGACAACAAATCCCATCAACAGATAAAAGTGATCACACTCAAAGAGTTAGGACCTACTGAGTAAGTCCTGTGGATGAATACATAGTAAGAAAAAGAAAGGAGGAAATCATACTTTAAAAAAAAAAAAAAAAAAAAAAAGTTTCACAAAAATTTCTTCAAAAATAATAGACATCTAAGACAGTCAAAAATGAAAGTAGAATTTTCTTTTCTGAAATAAAATTTTTGGAATTTTAAGCTTTTAACCATTTTTTGAAGAGATAAAAATGGAATAATTCAGAATGAAAAAAATAATTCTTCAGAGGTAAATATGAATATTTTGATAATTTACTGGACAGAAAGAGCTAGCAACAATTAAGAAATGATATTTCCATTTGCACTTGCTAAAATTAGCAAGTTAAAAAATGCTTGATCTAATAAAAAAAATCTAAAACGTAATGCAACACACAGCTTAGTACAATGATATTTAAACACCAGAAACATGACCTTTCAGCTGTGAAAAAGGAACTAGACAATATCTTACTATAATGTGAAATAGAAATTTCTGAAGAATGAGAATTTGGCACAACATGTCTAATATAATACATATATATGTAATTAAACTGGAAGAACCTCGTTGTAATAAATTGGCATGACAGATGGATGCATAAAGCAGAAACTTTCAGACGTGGCCGAATTCAATTGTTTTCTTTTTTATTCCTGGTTAGCATGCATTTTTATTTTATTCAATACAAATCAAATCAACACTACTGCTCCTACTTCTTAAAGCTTGGCTATCAGAACTTCGTGTGCCATAGAAGGGCGCTTCAACTACACTGGTGTGCAAAATTTAATCAACAGGTGTTCTTTTTGCCATAACTCTACGAGAAATCTTCTGAGAGACATGAAATTCAGCAATGTGAGACAGCAGTTTGTATTTAAAAGATGACGAAACCATGGGTGCACAAAAATGAATACAATGCAAACAGTAGCACAACAAGCAGATAGTCCTTAGCATGGGATATGCCCTCCCATTACTGCAATGGTTGCTTCGCACCGTCTCTCCATACTCAGCACCAGACTGTCCAACAGATCTTGAGGTAAGAGTGTCCATTCCTCAATCACTATCTGTTTCAGTTGTTCGGTGTTCCCGGAGAATATAATCTTGCCGCAAGCCATCCCCCTAAAGCATCACACACATGTTCTATTGGA